AAAATACCATCTAAACTTTTCTAAAGACAGTAAGTTCCCCTCAGACATGCATTCATATAAACTCCTACCCCTAAATGAATCGCGATTTGTTTAGTATCTCAACCGATTTGAATCGGTTGAGATTCAAATAGATTTTCCAAAAGGCTTTGACGTCGTTGAATAAACATGAGCACTGCACGTGTCAAAGTTGAAACCCGGTGCGGGTGTTTTTATATTGAAAAACTAAAAAGCAATTTATTTAATTCGAAGGCCTGTCGTTATTTTTTATTTGTGCTATCATTATTAATTTTTTATTTGTTCTTATTTTATTACTGACTGCTTACTTGTCATTTTTTTATGCAATTCAAAGTTTTAAATCAAGCTATCTCGTGCTACTACACCAACATTACCCCACTGTAAAATTTCCAAAGGGTGCCGCGACTAAAAAAAGGTTGGGAAACACTGCGTTAGAGAATGTACAAATGGTTAACATTGTGGCATATCAGTCAGAAAAGCAGTTCTGGGCTTTTTTTTATTTTATTTTTTTTAGCTAACTTAGTTGTTATTCTTGGCTGAATAACTCTAAGGTTTTCAAAAGACCTTTAAAATTAAATATGTACACAGTTTGGATTAAATGAAAGTATAGTCAAATTTTTTAATTAGCACGTTTTTGTGTTTTGCTTTATGCACCAAAAGCTTGTAACACTCCAAAGAGAAAGGAAAAATTGAAATCGCATCATATGACCCCTTTAAAATATCATGTTTTGATTAGTTAAGCTGAAAATTTCTTCTAGGATTGGTTCCAAAAAGTCCAATAGGATTCATTTTAGAATTTTTAACAACTTATTTATTTTTGACTAGGCCAGAGGTGTATCAGACATCTGCAGGATTCATGTGCTCATGTCAGATGATTGACAGCTGTCAATATGATCAGTCTTTTAAGCCATCCCATGACAGGGAAAATCCTGGCAAATACTGTGGTCTAATATATTCATCACCATTAAAAAAATATATATTCTAGGAACACAGACCTTACAAAAAAAGTGCCATTGCATTTTTGTAATTGCATGCCTGGATATCCAATGTAAGTTATAGGTGTCAGCAAAACCCTAAATAGGAAGATGCCATGTCAAATATCCAAACTCTTTAATCCAATACAACCATTATTGATGATGGCACACATGATGGCACGTTTGTTTTGCTACATTCATCTGTGTCTTGTAGGCTTGTGGGTCATGTTATGTGTGACCAATGCTATCCTCCCTGATCTCTTTTGATCTCCATGTGAATGACTTTATTGTGGGCTTTGCAATTTGTAAATGAGGCCTTTTCGTCACATGGGGCGTCCACACTCATTAGACCGAATCAGGTCTCCAAAACAACATTCTCTGTCTGTTTATGAATGTCTGTTGTTTGTTGCTGATGTCAAGTTGAGAGTGATGTTAATGGTTTAAATGATGGTGATGAGTTGTAGTCATGTACGCTGAGGCATTGTGCTCAATTGCTTTAAAACAAGTAGAAACGGGGGATCCGTTGGTTCAGTCAAATTAATTGACACATTTTGAATGACTGAATGTGAATGGGTTTGATTTGGTTTTAATTGTAAGTGTCATGCCTCAGATGCAGTGCTCTGATTTGCGCCTCACATTTGGAAACCCGTCCACTAGGTGAATGTCCGGTTTCTAGATCAGTTGTTCCCTCTCAGATTATGTTCTGTTTTTCAAAAAACACTAATTAAATGTCTTGCAATGGCATTGTTTTGGCCATCCTGATGACCATTAGATCGGTATTGGCCATTAAAAAGTCATATAAACCCATATGCAGTATATTATTAGCTTGCAATTAATATATACATTCATTATTTTCCTCATCAGAGACTCTGATGATGAAAATTGATGAGTTTACGCACCTTTTTAACAACTTATTTTTCTTTGGCCGTCACAGAGCCAGTTTTCCAGGCCAGGGTTCCTCTGTCCACACCGGGAGAATGACGTAGACTGGACTCTTTGCAGCAATGCCAATCCACACCTCAGCAGCACGTCACAGAGGGAAGGTAACTCACCTTCCCATGTTGAAAACCCTTTCAGCACATAGAAAAAAAAACTAGCGTTGCAGCACTGTAACCATAATGTCCTTTGATGTTGCAGTGGTGCACATTGAGAAGATCATTCTGAAGGAGGTTTCTATGGGAGAAGACGGCAGGCAGTACAGTTTTGAGGTAAGTTCAAAAACCCCTCAGAGACAGCCGAGTTTCAACACTGACATTTCATCTAAAAGAAGATCAGAGAGCTCCAGGATTGTGGAAAAGGATTTAAAATGAAATGTACCCAGTTGTATGTCATGCCGGTAAGAAAGAGTCTCTCCTAAGAAAGCAAGATAAGAAATGTTGGGGTACTCTACACAACTATGTCAAAATCAGAACTGGTCACTATTGTTAGCTTGCCATTTGGTAGGTCTGCACAGAATCTGTGTTTACAGATTTCCACAGAATTCGAATGACTGTATTTTAATACATTTGAATTAAAGGCTAATTTGCTAATTGCAGCTACCAATTAAAGTAGTATTTAGAGATATTCAAAACATTTTCCCCACGTAATATTGCTAAATATGATAGATTTGTAATAATTCATACAAATATTTTATTAATATTCAAATATATACAGTAGTCAACATTTGAAGTGGATCAAACCCTCTTATCAAAGTTGTCCTAAGACAAGAACGGGTATTGTTTTGGTTTTAGGACAACTTTGATAAAAGGGTTTGATCCACTTCAAATGTTGACTACTGTGTATACAGGTGCATCTCAATAAATATATTAATATATAGCTGTATATTGATATTGGCTTGGATCACTATGGAAGAGATTAAATTCAACATGAAATCAAACTGGACCACATTCTTGGTGTTATTGTGCATGTTATTTCAAAGAAACCCGCCTGGCTCCATTCTGGTATGTTAACACCCACGATACAGTCAATTCCCGATGGATAAAATCAAGTCCTACACTACTTTTTTTTTTTCTCATTGAATATTGTGTTCCACTCTGAAGTGCGCAGTAAAGTTTGACTTTAAAACAATTTGTTTTATTTGTGCTTAAGTTGCTGGTTAAAAAGGATATTAATGTTGTGTAGGCACGGTGTGAAAAAATTCACAGTTAATGTCTTGGTAGAAGCTGTTGTTTCAGATTTGCATGCACGCTTTCCATTATTCATGGTGTTAAAAAGAGCTAAAAATGAACGTGCACTCAGACTCTGTGGTTCCAGACGTGTCCTGAAGGCCGAGCTATGCTCTCGACTGTGTACATGAGATTTCTGTCTCTCTGGGACAAGTGAGGAAACATGCAAAGCCTGAGCTGTAAACATCCGGTTGTTGATACAGAGTTGACAGCCTCACCAAAGAGGCTTTGGCTCAGCTCACAGTGAGAGTATGGACCAGCGCCAAAACAGTCGGAGAGGGAGAGAGAGAGAGGCCTGACTGAGAGAAGTGCTTTTCTTTTCCTTTGCCTAATGTATTGTGTAATTTTCAGGGGTGAAAATTACCCTGCAATACAGTTTTATCACAAAAGCTGGGTCATGGCACGATAAATATCCTTTAAAATGCATTATAGTATACCAAGCAAAATATGAAACTGAGGAAAGCAAGATGATTATCTCATAATGTTTTGCAAGTAGCATGTATTGTTTGGGCTGTACTGCAGTTGTCTGACGTCTTCGATAAGTGACAAATGGATCATTCTGGCATTTGTAGTATGAATAAATGGTTTATTTAGTCAACACAATTGCATTCACAACCCATTGTACTTCAATATCGTGACGTATTTCCGAGTGAAACTGTATATGTATAACCGTTAATGAATAAGAGGATTTGTAGAAGGAAAGTCATTTCAGAGCAAGATTTTATACTTTCTTTTTTTTTTTGTTTTACAAATATTATTTTAGTTTCGTGATAACTGATTAAATTGTGCATAATATGACCAGCAACAGCTTAATGATAATAATAATAATAAAAATAATTAATGTTGAAGTTTTTCTGATTTTATATTGAACTTCCTTTTTTATAAAAAGTTCAAGGAAAATGTGACTTCTCACATTATGACCGCTAGAATGCGTCAGGGAATATCCCCCTTATATAATATCCCCCAGGGAATAACACTTTTAGGATGCTGGAAGCGCAGATGCTCTGAAATCAGGATAGTAATGAAATCCAGCATCTTAAACAGAAAATACTTGTCTAGGACTTTGGGTTCAAGCGTTTATTGTGGGAAGATTGTGAGGGTCTTAAACCATGTAAAATCCCCTAACTTATGGTTCTGGTCATGTTGATCAAATAGTTTAGGTTTTTTTTTTTTTTTAAAGCTTTTAGACCATTTGTATGGTAAACTCCTCTTAAGACATCTTTAAATTGATTGCTAGAATCCCTGGTACAGCCGTTCTCATTGACACTGGCATCTTTAGCTGTTGCTGCATGACTCATTTTGCTGTGTTTTTTTTTTTTAGTGTTGTATGTTTAGGATGCATGTGCAGTTAAAACTAGTTCCACTTTTAAAATGGCTTTGACAATTCCGCTATTAATCATGTCTTGTAAAAGGTCGTGCTGAGATGTCTGCCTTAACGTTATGGACCGGGTGCGAGTGAAAATTGGCTTTGACAAGTAAATAAAACTTTACTTGACTGTTGGTTCAGCAATATACAACTATTTTTATACGGTCTAAAAGTGTCAAAACTTTTTGATATTTAAGAAAACAAACAAAATCTCCATAACAGCCTGTCTGTTGTGCTGTTATTCAGTTTTCATGACCTAAAGGTTGTTTGGAGGCTGAAGTGGGAAGGAGACATATTGGGGACACCCGTGAGGACATGAGTCTTTCACTCTGCTCTCCCCAGGATATATTAAGATAGAAATCTGTGCTGACAGAGATTTAAGTGTTTAAATCCACAATCACTGTCACTGTTGTTTGTTGTCATCATAAACAGCATAAATGAATGCTGCTTCACATTATTAAACATGAAATGTTCTCAGTGTGAACATAAAATCATTAGACGCTGTGATTCGTGCACGATCGTACCTGATTAGTGTACGTGGCATTATTCTGCCGAGTCCAATCCATCCTCATCAAAACAAGATTGAAAGAATGGAAGGAAAATGAAAGCATTGTGTTCTCGGCCAAATTTGAGCTATCTTTTCTCTGTCCGTCTTGTATTCCATCTTAATGTGAGTTGCATCCCAATCAGAAATCCCCTTGCGTCACTGGAAGACAGATTCTCCACCCTTTCCCAGGCTTAACACTGAACCCTGACCACCTGTGTCTCGCCAAACCCTACGATTAAGACATCAGTATTCACTAGAGAAGCAGACGGAACCGCGTGCCAGCCCTGGTTAAGGCTAAAATATTTACTCAGCGCAATGGGCTACCCGGGTGTTGAAAGCCAGTGTGGAGTTACAGATAAACACTTCAACACTTTTTGTTGTTGTCTGAGATAGATTAATTCCAGCAATTACAGGCATCAACGTTCTCAACGGCTGTAATTTATTTGGACCTGTATTGTGTAATTCTACCAAAAACAGATTATAGTTTTGCTCTTCTGTAAGTCCACAAACAAGAACATGGCATAAGAGACATTATCACAGTGTTTGAACTTAAGTGAACAGAATGTTTTTTTTTTTATTATAGATAAATGCTCCAACACAGATGTTGTTGAGCATACTTAATTTGTACAACCAAGTCGGTGCATATGCACATTTTTGTTTTGAATGTGACATGATGTGCAGCATACAAACTGCAGTGCACTAGGCTTGCTGCAGTACTCTTTGGTATTACCCAGTGTTCGGCCATACACCAATTACCACCACAATACCACCCCACTGTTGTTTTGCTTTTTAATAGAAAAAAAAACAGTTTAGTTCAGTTGAAAGCGAAACTGAAAGCGTCTGCTCTGCTCCATACAGAGTGCGCTGCAGAGCCGCACCAGGAGTCAGATTTCACTTATCATGTGAATGACTGATTTAAAAAAATATATATATTTTTTTTTTCCGGCAATATAGACGATGGCGTAGAATTTAGTTTCCAAGCGAAGTGTAAAACTGGTTGCTTGGTGATATTTTGATGTTAAACGACCGTTTCTTAAACCAGAGAAGGTGAACATGTTGGTTTTCTTGGCAAAAAACATGCAAGCACTGTCACTGACAGCCAATTTAGTTTTCATTTTGTTTTCATTTTGAAAAGCCTGATGACTTTTGCTGTTTATTGTGGGAGTTTTTTTTATTTATTTATTTGGTTCCACAGTGTTTGCTAAACTTTGTGTAATTTATTAGTCAAATTATTCAGCATGTGGTGTATCCCATGCCTCATCTTATTGGTTTTGTCATTGTACTGTTTTATTGTTATTGTGCTATAATAATGATGAATCCATCTTTCAAGCATTCATTTTAGTCTTAGACAGTGAAAGGTGTCAAGATGTAAACGCAAAAGACAAGTATCTTTTCTTGTAAAACATGACACCAAGATTGTGAATTCGAAAGTGAAAGTGTCCAAAGCCCTGCCCCAATTGGCTGTTACCGGTAATAACCAGTTTTGTCACAGGTTTTTATACCAGTGTGAAAATATTCGTCACGTGACATCCCTACAGTGCACACTAGCTTCTGGCATTTTCATAAACTGTGTATGATAACCAAATGCATTTCTGCTTGAATTGATTGAATATGCTTATCTGTTGTCATCTAATCAAAGTTATTAAAGCAATGAATCGATCACTGAATAATCAAGAACAGCACTAGTTAGGAAGGTGGTCTAGATACACTTCTGTTCAAAGTTAGGGGTAAGATTTATTTATTTTTTTGATGTTTTTGGAAGAAGTCTCTTAAGCTCACCAAGGCTGCATTTATGTGTTTAAAAAGAGAAAAATCAGTAATATCGTTAAGTATTATTACAATTTAAAATAACTATTTTCTATTTTAATATATAATTTCTTCCTGTCATGCAAAGCCAATTTTTTTTGTCATTACTCCAGTCTTCAGTGTCACATGATCCTTCAGAAATCATTCTAATATGCTGATTTGCTGCTCAACAAACATTCCTTATTATTATTGATGTTGAAATCAGTTGTGCTGCTTTTAATATCTTTGTAGAAACTGATTATTTTTTTTTTACACCTTTTAAACATTAAAAGGTCTTATCTAAATGTATTTTTTTAATATTATAAACGTCTGTCACTTTTGATCAATTTAATGTGTTCTTCCTGAATTAAAGTAAAACAATAGACTTTAGTCTGTACTGGTTAAAAAATATGATAGTTATGCATGCATTCTTTTCAGTTTAGCAGTTTTTTTTTTTCTACAAAATATTTGCATGAGCTAAAGTTGTGGTGAATTAATTTAAACCAAGTGAACTCTAGTGGTTGAAATGCTTAAGCGTAAAAAATAGTGCAATGACCCAGTTTGGCGAAAAACTGATTCTGGGCGTACGCCCCATTCTGATGTCATTGTCTTTATTTGGGCTGGTTTAAATATTTCAGGTATGCCTAGATTTCAAAGGGAGATTCCATTGGAATATTTTATTTACCTAACACGTCGTAATCTTTGAAAATGAGCTAATAGTCTAAGACCTCAAATGTTCTTCTCTTGCTGTAATGTCATTTCTGGAACCCAAACTGTTGGAATATTTGACCGAGGACATGTGAAGAAATCCATGTTAAGGCATCTGTGGCAAAAGGACAAGCACAATTATTCATGTCTGAGTGAAATATGATGAGCTCTGGGGAATCCAAGTAAAATATCCGTTATGCTCAGATTGATGAGAGCAATACTGGTCTATTCTCCTTGAGTTTCTCTTCTTTTTCAGGTGAAATGGTCAGACTCTTCATCCACTACTGTCACCAAAAGTCATCGTGAGTTGGAGGATTTTCTATTAAAGGTGAGCAGAGAGATGTAGGTCTTTGGTGTGGTATTTGTATATGTTCAGTCACGTGGGTCTGTAGCATATGCCAGTGTGCCCACCAGTTGGGCAAGATGCCACCTAGTCAGACCAGCGAGGGACATTATCCATCTGTTTCTATTTCTATTTTCCCTCTCTCTGGCTGTGTTCGTAATGGAATACTGGCATTCTGAATACTACACTGTATATACTTCACTTTTATTTTAATGTCATTTTTATACTATTACAGTATTTATTCTTTTTTTTTTTTAAATAGGTTTTTATGTTATATTTTCAGTATTCATTTCAATTTTAGTTTTATTTTATGTGCGTTGCTCATTTTTATTTTTAATATTTCAATTTGGTGTTATTTGTATTTCAGGTTTAGTAATTTTAGTGCTTGAGCTTATTGCATTTCAATTATTAGCCAAGGCAACATTTCTTATTTTGGTCAAGTTTTTTTTTTTTTTTTTTTGCATGAATACATAAATATTAGATAATGTCCACACATACATGGGAATTTTTATAAACAAGTTTTTCCTTCCATTTAAAAAAAAATCTCTGTCCACATGCAAACGCATGCTATGCTATGAAGCACTGTCAAGAGCATGCCAAGCCAACAGGTGACGATATAATCTCAACTGTAAAGCCATGTTGGCCAATCAGAAGCCTGAAAAAGTTTCCAGTAGGCGGAGATAACAGACGAACGGCCTAACCATGTAGAAAAAGCTGCGTTTTCAAAAATAAGCGCATTCGTGTGGACAGGGCCTAAAAAGAGTTCTAAAAATTTTAGCTTTATTTCGATGAATGTTTTACAATTTCTACACCTTTATAACAGTTTAGTTTTAGTTAAAAGCATACTATATCTCTAAAAATAGTGTGGAAAACAGTATGTATTATGCAAAGAAATGTTTCAGTATGCAGATTGTCACATGATCTTAGCAAGTTTATTTTAGTGAGTGCCGTCCTGTTATCATTTTGGAAAGTTATTTTGTGTTTTTCGTTTAAAATTTAGTTTGAAAAAGACATTAATGAATCAAGAAAGCGTTTTCTTTCATCACAAACATTCATTACACTGGAAATGGAAGGTCAAGTTGGGTGCATTGCATTTTGGGATTCAGTTTTCCACAGTGTGGTTTAGTTGTGCACTGCACATTTTGTCTAATATAGCTAGTTGGATCATCTGAGTATTCTTTACATACAGATAATTCTCATACTATTCATATTTCTGCAAATTTAGTATGGAAGGTGTGCCATTCCAAACTGCCTTTTCACTCTTTCTTTCAGTTTAGTATGCCTTAGTGGCATTTTTATCACCATGCTGTATTGAATTTAACTTGCAAAGTGAGGTAAAATGATCCCTCTGTCCCTCTAGCTTCCTAAGGAGCAGAGCCCTGATGGCTTTGAGAAGGGTATCATCAGATTACTCAGTCGTGGAGATCAATGTGAATCCAGAGAACTGGAGAGAAACCTCAGGTAAATCTCATCTCACTCATAACTAGTGTTGAGAAATATTATTTGTAAAAGTAATCTTGCATAATTGTGTTACTCCTTACTTTTGCATTCCTTTTTCTCAGATTTAAGTCACTTAGGTTCTCTCTTTTCCAGAATGCATTTTTTTTTTTTTTTTTTTGCATGAATACATAAATATTAGATAATGTCCACACATACATGGGAATTTTTATAAACAAGTTTTTCCTTCCATTTAAAAAAAAATCTCTGTCCACATGCAAACGCATGCTATGCTATGAAGCACTGTCAAGAGCATGCCAAGCCAACAGGTGACGATATAATCTCAACTGTAAAGCCATGTTGGCCAATCAGAAGCCTGAAAAAGTTTCCAGTAGGCGGAGATAACAGACGAACGGCCTAACCATGTAGAAAAAGCTGCGTTTTCAAAAATAAGCGCATTCGTGTGGACAGGGCCTAAAAAGAGTTCTAAAAATTTTAGCTTTATTTCGATGAATGTTTTACAATTTCTACACCTTTATAACAGTTTAGTTTTAGTTAAAAGCATACTATATCTCTAAAAATAGTGTGGAAAACAGTATGTATTATGCAAAGAAATGTTTCAGTATGCAGATTGTCACATGATCTTAGCAAGTTTATTTTAGTGAGTGCCGTCCTGTTATCATTTTGGAAAGTTATTTTGTGTTTTTCGTTTAAAATTTAGTTTGAAAAAGACATTAATGAATCAAGAAAGCATTTTCTTTCATCACAAACATTCATTACACTGGAAATGGAAGGTCAAGTTGGGTGCATTGCATTTTGGGATTCAGTTTTCCACAGTGTGGTTTAGTTGTGCACTGCACATTTTGTCTAATATAGCTAGTTGGATCATCTGAGTATTCTTTACATACAGATAATTCTCATACTATTCATATTTCTGCAAATTTAGTATGGAAGGTGTGCCATTCCAAACTGCCTTTTCACTCTTTCTTTCAGTTTAGTATGCCTTAGTGGCATTTTTATCACCATGCTGTATTGAATTTAACTTGCAAAGTGAGGTAAAATGATCCCTCTGTCCCTCTAGCTTCCTAAGGAGCAGAGCCCTGATGGCTTTGAGAAGGGTATCATCAGATTACTCAGTCGTGGAGATCAATGTGAATCCAGAGAACTGGAGAGAAACCTCAGGTAAATCTCATCTCACTCATAACTAGTGTTGAGAAATATTATTTGTAAAAGTAATCTTGCATAATTGTGTTACTCCTTACTTTTGCATTCCTTTTTCTCAGATTTAAGTCACTTAGGTTCTCTCTTTTCCAGAATGAAATGCTGTGTTTGGCTTGCATGTGTATTTGTTCAATTTAATGCTCTATTCGCTGCCATTATAATCACATTATAGTCTTTGCTTGCAACTGTGTCATGGGATAAATGCAGTTGTGCTGGAAGCATACATTTCAGTGCAATTCCTAAATCTGAATCTGAAAGGCTCTGTGCTAAACCAAAAACAACATTGAGCCATGACCATAACTAGCATATTTTAAAACAATACATACAAGTACATTAGTTTCATTACTTTGCATGAGGTGGACATGGAGAAGATTACAACTGCTAACCTAAACCTATTCAGAACTGTTTCCTGACTAGAGATGTTCAAATCATATAGCATTAGGCAGATGGTTTTTAATTCTTCAGAGACCGAGAGATCTGGATCAAGTCTGTCACTAAATTGTCAAAGGGAATCAGTGTTAAAAAAAAATGTTTTTGTTTTGTTGTTGTCACATAAAACAAGTCCCACAGCACATGACAGAATTTAGGTCAGTAACACTGATGTCGGGACCAGAGGGGATTCTACTTCCTGTAGCACAGTTTAGATGTGGTCACAGATTTTGAAAATAAAACATCAGTGACTGTGTTTCAATACCTTTAACTTCTCTCTCTCTTGTTCCTTTGCAGGGAGAAGTTCCTGTCTTTATCACAGGATGTCCTTCAGAGATGTGACGTTTCCAGGTTCTTCCTGTCTGATGCGTCTGTACGGCCATGCAGCCACTGTGAGCATCCGTCTGACTGGCCAATCAGAAAACCATTATCAGTTGATGACTAATCTTAAAATGACCAAATATCAGCATATTAATAGACCAAGCATGATTCCTCTGTGTAACACTTGCCCATCTGCTCATCTCTGCAGGTACCAGTGCGCCCGTAGCCAGAATCCATCAGCCTGAACGCGGTTTTTCTGAGGACTGCTCAGAGACTTCCAGCCTGGAGGAGGGTGAGAGAGATACAGACCTGTCAGATCTGCTCTAGAAACACATGCCAGCATGCATACAAGTGCTAATGCGGTACTGATGCTACAGTCTCATCTGTGCCTTTTTCTCTTGTACAGATACGGAGGCTTACAGCGTCAGAGCTGCTGGACTGAGGTAGACCTTCACTGAACAAATATATTTTTATTCAGCAAGGATGCATTAAAATGATCAAAAGTGACAGTAAAGACATTTATAATGTTACAAAAGGGTTCTATTTCAAATAAATGCTGTTCTTTTCAACTTTTTGTATGTTTTACTTGTAAAGTGTACTTATGTAATCTTTCTTTAAAATAAATGCAACTTGGTTTGATATTTTATTATTTAATGCAATGGTATTCGTTAAGTGTGGTTTAAGTGTCCAAATACTTGAGGCTGCTGTATGTGATTACTGATCCTTACAGGACAGACCTGATATTAGAGTAAACCATGTTTACGGCCGTCTCCTGTCACATAATCTGTCTACTTCTCCCTGTAGTAGTCAGCGCTCTGAATGCCAGAGGACAGGAAACTGTGAGCAGAACAGAGAGAGAGTTTGGAAGAAAGAAACTGAATTGGAACAGGTGAGGCTGTGAAATTGTTTCTTGCTCTTTGGTATTCTTGGAATGGCATACGACTGATAGTGCTTCTGCAGTATGAAAACTGTGTACACAGTGTGCAATTTTTAATGCATACTGTCTATAAAGAAATAAATACTGTATACCACAATTCAATGTGCTTGAACATCCTTTACCATGAGTTAGTAATGAATGAACCAGGAAGTAATTCCCCATCAAATTCTTGTTTCACTGTTGGATTGTACTGTCAAAAGTTCTGAGTTGTTGTTTTTTTATACAGAATTGGATTAAAAAATGTGTATTAACCATTTTTATTTTTAAAAGGAAGACAGGGTGCCACTCACTGAATTAAACATGCAACCTAATGAACTAATTTGACAACACTGTAGCATACTACTTCATTGTGTGAACTATTGTCCATACTATTTAAAAAAATACAGTACAGTTGGTCATTGTTTTGAGGCATGTTAGACACATTCGCATTCTGTCTCCCTGCAGAGCTCCACAAATGACAGAAGAATCTTTACGGCTGGACAGAAGAACAAAACAATATCAGCTGGAAAAAGGTACACAAACACCCGCTACTGTGTTTAGTTTGCCTCTAAATGGGTGCAGAGTCAAATGTTGACCTGGTTTTTGTGTCTGAACTGAGACAATATTTTAAAATGCATACTCACTGATACATTGGGTTGGGCTTATGGTTCACGGCTGCTGTACTGCTGTTCTATGTTTTCAGGGAGAGAGGCAGACGAGTTACAGGTGTCAAGACTTCTAATGGAATCCAGAAACCTTCTGCAGCACTGATGATCAACCAGGGAGCTTGCAAAGGTCTTTGTCCCATGGTTAAAAAACAACAAAGAAATAATTTTTTTATATCTGTGCATCTCCAAATACAGGTGCATCTGAATAAATTAGAATGTCATGGAAAAGTTCATCCTTTGCAGGTGTTTTGAGTTGATTAGCTGATTGGCATGTCACCATATTCTAATTTGTTGAGATAGTGAATTGGTGGGTTTTTGTTAAATGTGAGCCAAAATCATCACAATTAAAAGAACCAAAGACTTAAACTACTTCAGTCTGTGTGCACTGAATTTAGTTAATACACGAGTTTCACAATTTGAGTTGAATTACTGAAATAAATGAACTTTTCCACGACATTCTAATTTATTGAGATGCACCTGTACATCCCGCATGCATGTACGATTCCCTTACAGTGAACTACAGCTGTTTTCTTTTGTCCTTTGGTTTCTAGACGCAGGAAGGGACCGGTATGGGGACACGTCATCGGAGAGCTCGAACTCTGTGCCATCCAGCCCTGTTCACCAGAAGAGCCTGGAAGACCAAGGTGTGTTATTCAGTATGTGATAGTTAATCAAAAAAAATCTGTAATTTACTCACCCTCATGTTGTTCCAAACCCGTACTACTTTCTTCTGTGAAAGTCACAAAAGGGGATGTTTAGCAGAATGACAAACTCAGTCACCCTGTACTTATATGCCTACACAGAATATTGCTTTTAAATGCAAGAAGAAAAGTCATATCAGGTTGTATTTAATAGATTAATCTCTTTAATAATTTTTAATTATTAATACAAAAATTGTCTTTGAAGGGCTTCTTCATGTGAACTAACAGCAGAGTTTTGATGCTATTTAAACAGTGACTCAAGAACTGAAAAAAGTGTTATTTTAATGTTATGTATATACTATTATAGTATTTATACATTTTTTTGAATTAGCTTGACTTTTATATTTCCAGTTAATTCTAGTTTACGTTTTAGTGATTTTGTGTTTGTCATTTCTATTATATATTTTTTACATGTTTCTATTTAGCTATTTAGTTTTATTTCAGTTTTAGTAATTTTAGTACTTCAACTTCGACGTTGTATTTTGATGTTGCATTCAAGCAATTGATGCCTAACTGCCGCTAATTCAAAAGTGAAAGTAAAATGCGCATGGCGCTTTCAAGCTATTTAAAAGCGACGGAAAGCGAGGAAAAGATGGAAAATTCAAACGAACTAAAAACGAACAATTGCTTTACGCCGAATTGCCGCTATTTGAAAGTGAAAGTAAAATGCGCACGCCGCTTTTACAAGCTATTTGAAAGCGAAGGAAAGCGAGGAAAAGAGGGAAAGTCCCGCCCCCGCGGTGATACCGGTATTACCGGTGTTGTCACATGTCGATTAACCGGTGGGAAAATTTCCTCACCATCACAA